CAATCTCAATGGACACTTTTTTAATCGGGAATCTCAAGTTAACTTACGTAAGCAGGCACTCTTCCACTTTGTTAACGGCTTTGAAGCCCAAAATCGCAAAAATCACCACGCTGGCGTAGATGGCCGTCATCGCATTGCATATAGAGACCAAAATCACATCTCGAATGCAGTTGTTCTTTGGATTGTTGTAGGAGCCGAAGGCGATCAGCGATCCAAAGGCCAGCCCAAATGAGTAGAAAACTTGAGTGGCTGCGTCCAGCCATACTTTGGGTTCTTTCAGCATATGAACCTGGAAGGCATTAGGATTTTCTCTTGAAAACACCACTGTTCCTTGGATGGTTTCTTTAGTAAACTCACTTTAGGTTTGAGCATGTGAGCCAGTCCAGCGCCTGCCCCTTTTAACGTCATGCCCTCAATGAAGAAAATCGTCAGCACCAAGTAGGGAAATATCGAAGTAAAGTACACAACCTGGAAAACAGCAAGCACAATTATTGAAACTACACGGTTTAGAAGTGGATAACAAATAGGCCAACGCTTACCTTTCCAGAACTTTGAATGCCTTTCATGACAATGAAGAAAACCACAATCCAGGCTAGCAATAGACACAAAACAATCCACCATTTCGGAGTTCCACCTGCATCGATAGAAGGGCTGGCATCCAGAGTGACTCGATACCAAAAATATGCGGTTGCTGACGATTTTTCGCACTCAGCAACCGTTTGATTTGTTAGAGGGTCAAATGGGCAGTTTTGCCATGGGAGTTCCAGCTGCAAAAAAAACGTACAAATTTCAAAGTTAAAGTCGGTGAAAGTGAGTGGAACGTTCGGGATCAAGACACACAAATATGTATGTGATCGAAGCACCAATTTTCTAAGTTTTTGTTTCAAAAATCTTGTGATTTTCGAAGTTCAAGATGCGATGGATTTTGAAAAACCAGGGCGATTTTAAGTTGCAGATTGGCAATAATTTCATTTTTCTGCTCAATATTCGTTTTACAGTTTTTCGGGCTTCGTCGTGGAAAGCGATTTTCTGATCAAAACCGCCCGGATTTTGCAAAAACCAGGTGAAAAAATAGCACTGCTTCGAAGAGAATTAAAAGAAACTGCCATTCAGCTCTATTTTCGAAACCCTTTTTAACCTAATTATACCATTTTCCTACAGAATCAGTGTCATATTTATATATTCTTTCACATTACCCTAAAAAATCACAGCTTTAAACCCCGAGTTTGCACTGTTAAATTGTCGATATCCCGCAAACGGCTGGTCTGAGACGTTTCATTCGAGTACCCCATTTTGCTCATTAATCAAAGGGGATCAAACTAAGTCATGCAAACGTGGATAAACATGTTTCTAGTTTGCACGGAAAAAAGAAAACTTGTAAATTAGTGCAGGTCTTGAACCGCTCTAAATTTTTGGCTCAAATTTAGAGAATTTGTGGGGCTGAAAAGTTATAGTTGTCATTGCTGGATAGAGCCTTAAATTACGCACTTTTCCGTACAAAGCATTATTTATTGAATATATCTAGTTGGTACGCAAAATGGGAAATTCCCAATTAATGCTGCTCTGAAGAACGGCTTTTAGTCATTGGCTCATATTTAAAGAACCCGTTGAGATACGGAGCTCTAGCCCTTATTTCTGGATAGAGCAGTAAATTGTGCACTTTTTCGTTGAAAAAAACCTTTTTTTAATGTTTTCAGCTTGCAGACAAAATAGAAAAATTTGAATTTAATGCAGATATTGAGAATCGCTCTTATTCATTAGCTCATATTTAAAGAACCCGTTAAGATGCGGAGCTCTAGTTCTTATTTCTGGACAGAGCAGTAAATTGTGCGCTTTTTCGTTGAAAACACCTTTTCTTAAATGTTTTCAGCTGGCAGACAAAATAGAAAAATTCGAATTTAATGCAGATATTGAGAATCGCTCTTAATCATTAGCTCATACTTAAAGAACCCGTTTAGATGCGGAGCTCTAGTTCTTATTTCTAGATAGAGCAGTAAATTGTGCACTTTTTCGTTGAAAACAGCTTTTTTAAATGTTTTCAGCTTGCAGACAAAATAGAAAAATTTGAATTTAATGCAGATATTGAGAATTGTTCTTATTCATTAGCTCATACTTAAAGAACCCATTTAGATACGGAGCTCTAGTTCTTATTTCTGGATAGAGCAGTAAATTGTGCACTTTTCTGTTGAAAACACCTTTTTTAAAATGTTTTCAGCTTGCAGACAAAATAGAAAAATTCTAATTTAATGCAGATATTGAGAATCGCTTTTAATCATTAGCTCATACTTAAAGATCCCGTTTAGATGCGGAGCTCTAGTTTTTATTTCTAGATAGAGCGGTGAATTGTGCACTTTTTCGTTGGAAACACATTTTTTTTAATGCTTTCAACTTGCAGACAAAATAGACAAATTCGAATTTAATGCAGATTTTGAGAATCGCTCTTAATCATTAGCTCATATTTAGAGAACCCGTTAAGATGCAACGCTCTAGTTCCTATTTCTGGATAGAGCAGTAAATTGTGCACTTTTTCGTTGAAAACACCTTTTCTTAAATGTTTTCAGCTTGCAGACAAAATAGAAAAATTCGAATTTAATGCAGATATTGAGAATCGCTCGTTATCATTAGCTTATACTTGGAGAACCCGTTTAGATGCGGAGCTCTATTTCTTATTTCTAGATAGAGAGGTCAATTGTGCACTTTTTCGATGGAAAAACATTTTTTTTATTGCTTTCAACTTGCAGACAAAATAGACAAATTCGAATTTAATGCAGATATTGAGAATCGCTCTTAATCATTAGCTCATATTTAGAGAACCCGTTAAGATGCGGAGCTCTAGTTCCTACTTCTGGATAGAGCAGTAAATTGTGCACTTTTTCATTCAAAACACCTTTTTTTTTAATGTTTTCCGTTTGCAGACAAAATAGAAAAATTCGAATTTAATGCAGATATTGAGAATCGCTCTTAATCATTAGCTGATACTTAGAGAACCCGTTTAGATGCGGAGCTCTAGTTCTTATTTCTAGATAGAGCGATGAATTGTGCATTTTTTCGATGGAAACACATTTTTTTTTATTGCTTTCAACTTGCAGGCAAAATAGACAAATTCGAATTTAATGCAGATATTGATAATCGCTCTTAATCATTAGCTCATATTTAGAGAACCCGTTAAGATGCGGAGCTCTAGTGCTTATTTCTGGATAGAGCCGTAAATTGGCTCAGTTTTTGTGGAAAACATTATTTTCGAAATGCTTCTAGTTGGAGCACAAAAAGGAAAAATTGCAAATTAATTCAAGTCTTGCGCATCGCTCTGGGTCTTCGGCTCATAGTTAACGAACCCGTTGAACTGCGAAGCTCTAGTTTTTATTTCTGAATTGAGCCGTGACTTGCGCATCTTTGTGGCAAACATTATTTTCGAACTTTTCTAGTTTGCGCGCAAAATTGGAAAATTCTAAATTAATGCCTTAAAAACCGATCTTAGTCTTTGGCTCATATTTAGAAAACCCTTTAAGATGCGAAATATTAGTACAGATTCGTAAATAGAGCCTGAAATTTTGCACTTTCCTGTAGGAAACAGGAATTTCGGAATAAGTCTAGTTTGCACACAAAATAAAAAAATTTAAAATTAATGCAAATCTTTTGAACCGCTCTTAGTCATTGGCTCATATTTAGAGAACCCGTTAAGATGCGAAGCTCTAGTTGCCATTTCGGGATAGAGCCTTGAATTGCGCACGAAACGCAATTTTCGCACTGTTTCTAGTTTGCATACAAAATAGGGAAATTCTAAATTAATACAGATCATACTTCGAGAAGCCTTTAAGATGCGGAGCTCTAGCACACATTTCTGAATAGAGCCACGAATTGCTCTGTATGGAGTAGCAAAAGAGTAAGAGCCAATTGGACCCAAACTCAAACCAGTGCGAAAAATAATCAGAAATTTTCAACCACAACAAAACAATTCAGTTAAAAATATAACTTGAGCCCCATGTTTGTGCAAGTTTAAATGTGAAAAACCCCCTATTTTAATAATAGAATGGCACACCAGTTTCAGGAAACTGCCACTTATGAGCGGTAGAGAAAAAGTGCAGAAATACGTACCCGAAAACTGTTAAACAAGTAATAAAAACACCATGTGATAATCACGTTGTAATAGAGTGCGACGAAAAACGTAACCAAACAACTGGAAATTCCAATACCTCCCAACCATGGATGGATGGTGTTCCAGACGCCCAACGAGCCCAAGCGCATCTTCTGGCCAATTCCCAGTTCAATCAGGAACAACGGAATACCTTCGAGGATTAACATCACGGCCACTGGGATGAGGAATGCACCTAGAAAACAACAAGAACATAACAGAAGACTGAAGGAAGCTTGGGGCGATTTGAACCGTTGAGTGTTCGCTCTTTCAATCAATTTTGCGCTGGGTTCCTGCTCAACCAATTTATTTTGTTTTTAAGTCAAAACTGAAATTTTCTCTATTATTTCACTGCTAGTTTATTTTAGTTATCAGCTATTTCTTTAGATGGATTTCACCAATATGAAACAATTTGAAACCAATGTTGGCCTCTTTTTGAGAATGTTTAACACATTTTAAGGTGAAACCGACATTGCGAAACCCTATTTTGTGTTGAAGAATTATCAATTTTTTTCAACTTTTTGCTTTTTGGATTGCAACTGGAACCTTTTTGCGCATAACAAGCATATTTTTGGCTGTGGTACATCGGGGAATCGAGTGGTGTTGAAGCGCGTCAATCGTTCTACAGTGAAACGCCCCCATTAAAAATAATTAATCGCAAAAAAACCCCAAAACGGAGGAACGAATGAATCCACATTGACCCTTGAATATTTCGTTTGAGGCAGGATAAAATCCGGCTAAAGACTCTGCAACCTGGATAAAGTGAGGCTCCAGATTGTCTCACCTCCGCCATTCTGCTGGCACAAATAAGGAAACCGCCAAATGTTCCCCAACCCGACTGAATAGCCGATTATGGTGAGGAAGAACTGAATCTTCCCAGACCACGCCACATTGTCCTGGTCCTGGTCGAGACATTGCGATCCTCTGGAAATCACCGAACCTCTGGGTCCCTGAAGCACAATCGTCACTCCAGGTTTGCGGGGCTCACAGTCGGCTTGCCGATTGTTCAATGGGGCCAATTCGTGCCCATTCCGGGTCAGTTCCGGTGTTTTGCCAGCCATCAACGATCAAACACTGAGTCCACAGCAAATGTTCCCGAAAACTGTATCGCACGGTACTAATTGGACGTTCACAATGGCTTAATGGCCCATTAACCCATCGCAATTTTGGTGAAAAGTGGCGAAAAGGTCTCGGGCAAATGTAAGCAAGTTTCCGTGGATTTAATCAATATGGGGAGCATGTGCTCACAAGCGATTTTCGGCCTTATCGATCCTTGCGCGGATCCGGGTTACCGTATGGATTGTCTGGATGTTGCCGATAGACTGAACGCAATTTTGTTGTGATATCCTGGACTGGAATAGTCCGTTTGGGCGCTTTACCAATAGGGCGAACTGTTATAGGGGTTGTTTCACAAGTAGATCTAAGGGTTTTTGCCTAAAGGCAAACAACTTCTACAGTTTGATTCACATTTTGGACTTTTTCGGGAAGATTGCGCTCTTTCTGTTTGTGCTCTTTCGGCGTAGTTTGCATCGAGAATTCGTGAAGAAAACACTGAATTCTTGAAGAAGAAGATCAGTAACCAATCGAGGAAAGCGTTTTTTCAATAAAATCAAGAAGTTTTTGGAGTAAAATTGTACTGTTTGAGCGTAATTTAGCGCGTAAGAAAGCACTGAACTACTAAAGGCCAACAAGTCAATTGAGGAAAGAGTATTTCTTCTTCAAGAAAGTGTTTTTCCATTAACAAGGGATTTCCTGAGTTTCCCTGAAAAGTCAAACTTCCTGATTGTACCATTTGAGCGTAATTTACATTTAGAATTAAAAAAATCTAGCAATGGCAGCGTTTTCCCATTAAGAACAAGAAAAAACACTGAATTCCTGAGGAAGAAGGCTAGTAAATAAATCGTGGAAAGCGTTTTTCATCTTCAATGAAGCTTTTCTCCATTAAAACAACGCAATTTCTCTGAATAGCACACTTTGTTTTTGTGCCGTTTCAGCGTAATTTAGCGCGTAAGGAAGCACTGAACTATTAAAGGCCAACAAATCAATTGAGAAAAGAGTATTTCTTCTTCAAGAAAGTGTTTTTCCATTAAGAACAAGGGATTTACGTAGTGAGTTTCCCTGAAAATTCAAACTTTCTGATTGTACCATTTGAGCCTAATTTACATTTAAAATTCAAAAAATCGCAGCGTTTTTCCATTAAGAATAAGTAAAAACACTGAATTATTGAGGAAGAAAGCCAGTAAATAAATCGTGGAAAGCGTTTTTCATCTTCAATGAAGTTTTCTCCATTAAAACAAAGCAATTTCTCTGAAGAGCACACTTTGTTTTTGTGCCGTTTCAGCGTAATTTAGCGCGTAAGGAAGCACTGAACTATTAAAGGCCAACAAATCAATTGAGGAAAGAGTATTTCTTCTTCAAGAGAGTGTTTTTCCATTAAGAACAAGGGATTTTCATCGAGAGTTTCCCTGAAAATTCAAACTTTCTGATTGTACCATTTGAGCGTAATTTACATTTAAAATTCAAAAAATCTAGCAATCGCAGCGTTTTTCCATTAAGAACAAGTAAAAACACTGAATTATTGAGGAAGAAAGCCAGTAAATAAATCGTGGAAAGCGTTTTTCATTTTCAATGAAGTTTTCTCCATTAAAACAAAGCAATTTCTCTGAAGAGCACACCTTGTTTTTGTGCTATTTCAGCGTAATTTAGTGCGTAAGGAAGCACTGAACTATTAAAGGACAACAAATCAATTGAGGAAAGAGTATTTCTTCTTCAAAAGAGTGTTTTTCCATTAAGAACAAGGGATTTCTCTCGAGAGTTTTCCTGAAAATTCAAAGTTCCTGATTGTACCATTTGAGCGTAATTTACATTTAGAATTCAAAAAATCTAGCAATGGCAGCGTTTTTCCATTAAGAACAAGAAAAAACACTGAACTCCTGAGGAAGAAGGCCAGTAAATAAATCGTGGAAAGCGTTTTCATCTTCAATGAAGTTTTCTCCATTAAAACCAAGCAATTTCTCTGGAAAAAAGCACTTTTTGTTTTTGTGCTGTTTCGGCGTAATTTGCATTTAGAATTTTGGAAGAAAACACTAAATTCTTGAAGAAGAGAGAGCAAATCAATCGAGGAAAAGACCACAAACTTTACGTTCGTTCTTTTGCGGCATAATTTACATTTAGAATTTAGATTTATGAAGAAGCCCAATGATCTTCCAAAGAAATTCATGACAAAAATTCCTTGTTCCTAATGAGTTCTCCTAATGGAAAAACTCTTTTACCACAAGAAGAAAGTCAGCTTTATCTTCTGGAAATCTAAATGTATTTGAAAAGTACAGCTGCACGCACATGACCCTTATTTAAAACTTTCGCCACCCTAACGAAATCGATAAAATTTACTTTCCTGCAATGGAAGGTTTCATCATTACGCCTTCAGCTTTCAGCCGCATAAATTTGTCGTTTGAGCCGAATTTCCACATTGCTAGTGGGCTTTTCACTGGATACAGCCAGAAGCGTAAACCCACCTACACTTTTGCTTTTCCTCATTAAATCCAGATGGTTAATTTTAGCTGAAAACGCTTTCCAATGCGGGAAAGTAAATATTTATGTCACCGGTGGAAGTCTCGAGATGGAAAAGCTCGATAAGGTCATACCGAGCAAAGCACATGCCATCGATTAGCAGCTCTTTAGTAAATGGCCCCCAATGCACTCTTGAATGGAAAGGTTCTGCTTCGAAACGGATTGATAGCTTTTTCCATGGGGAAAGTTCCGCATTTCCATTTACCGGGTCATTTTCATTAATAATAGAGCCGCTCTAATGGAGGTTCGTTTTTAATTAATTTGTGTTCATTGTGTTGATGATTTTTCGTTCCTGCAGCGTTGAAAAGATTATAAAAATGAGGTTTTGATTTTAACAGCCTTATTAATCATTGCTTGATTATAGAAAAGTCGGCTGGAGCCAAATACCGATGCGAAAACCTCAGTGTCAAGAGCGATATATTTTTAAAGTTTGTTTATGCAAGAGCAAAACAATATGTGGAAATGACCCCGAAATATTTATAGAAAGTTCGGTGAAGAAATCTAGTTTAACTAAATATTTGAATTTGCTAGTAGCTGGAACTGAAAAGGAAACATGAAAACACCCCAAAAAGTGCATAGAAAGCGCGAAAAAAGTGCATAGAAAATCAGCAATGCTCCAGTGCGCTCTTCTTTAAAAAACATTGTTTTTTTACTTATTTTTAAAAATCTATATTTTTGAAACGGAAGCAAGTGACAATTTAAAAACATCAGCATCTTTAGAAAATATGTAATTCTGTAATTGCTGGAAGTTTTATGAAAATCCTAGAAAGTTGCGACCCAAGTGCGCCCTCTCTTTGAAAAAATCCGATCTTTGAAATTAAAGCAACTAGAGACTTGAGATTTTCAGTGGCTTTGATTTTAGAGATGCTAAAAGTTTTTTTTTAATCGTTAAATATTCTGATTTTTTCCAGCTTAGCAAATATTGGTCTCGAAACTGGCATTTTAGCCAAATGCACTTTCTGCTTCAAAAATTTTCCCCCTCAAAATTAAAGCAGATAAAAAACTGGAAACTTGCCCATCTGTAGCAGATACTTGGAGGAAAAGATCCTGAAAGTTACATGAAAATTGTCTCGAGTTCTGATTTTTCCGAGCTTAGTAAATATCGGTCTTAAAATGTATGTTTCACTCAACGGAACTAAAGCAAGTAACGACTTGAAATCTTTACCATCTTCAGAAAATGTCTGAATGTAAATACGCTGAAAGTTTTCTAAAATGCGCCACGATTTCTGAGGTTTTCGAGCTTGGCACAAATCGGTCTCAAAATGAATATTTTACCCAACTGCGCCGTCTCCTTTAAAAATTCACATCTTCCAA